TTTATTTCAGTGTATAAGGCCGGATATGTATTGTTAAGATAGTTATTTACTATATCGATATACAGTAGAAACAGATGTGCATTACTGTAATTATTTATGGATATTAAATTATTTTATCGATCAACAGAAAATAATACGTAAATATGTACAGTGTTAGCATTGAAACGGCGAGTCTGTCGCCAATATGACCAGATCTAGAGTAACGGTGCCGAAAAAGGGGCTTCTCCAAAGAGGCGTTTAGAAATGTTGACCGATCGTTTCTAAATCGGCAACAAACAAAAGAAAACAAACAAACAACTAGCCTTCCCGGCTAAAAACAATAAATAGTTTGTATCTTTATCCTAAAAGAAAACAACACACTTTATTCGCTTCTTTTATATATGATTCGATCGCTTTATCGCATCGATCAGCTTACAAATACACTGAAACCAACTTCTAACAAACTTTCCTATGCATATGCTCTACGTCACAATCACAATCGATCCATCGCTATCAAATTCGTGCATCGCGACGCGAAAAATGACATCATGCGATCGCGATCCGAAAATCTAACCCTAACAGTATGTATAATTTAACGTGTAATTAAACCTAATATTGTTTGGAATTCTGTTGAATTGTAAATAGGTGCAAGACCGTCCGGTTGTTCGACACCAAAAGGAGCGTAATTACTATATAACCAACCCAAATTCGTATTTGGATCATAAAGCGTTATACAAGGAGATCCGCTTGCACCAGGCCCTAAATATAAATCATGCATGACATAATAATCATTTGCCAAATATGCTTCTCCTGCCCACGTACAAAGATTTTCTCCATCATTTGGACAATTTTCAAGATTACCTCCATCCGGATAACCGCGAATGGTTGTTGCAACTTGATCTCCTACATCGAACCTAAAACCGAGAGATCCCGTAAAATTTTGCAATGGATGGCCATCCTTGTTAAATGTAAACCTCATAATGCCCCAATCAGAATAATCTGCTATTATCGCATTTTCGACAGGAATTAGATTAAGTGGACCAGGTTGTCCATGATCATATCCAGGAGAAAACATTATATCATGAAAAAATTTTTGAGTTATAGGATTAAAAAGACAATGCGATGCAGTAAGTCCAATATTCCCGTTATCAGTATTGATTACACTGGCGGTGCAAAAAGATGGTTCGTCATTATCGTCACGCATGAATAACTTTCCGATGGGAAAAGATTGAACTTGATCCGGATTTACTTCACTAATTGTATTATTAATTATGTCATATTTTCTCCCCGAAGGGGACCTAGATTCCGCGTATTTAGAGTCAGTTGTATTTCTTCTAGTTTTGACAACATTTCTTGTTCTAAATCTAGTATTTATAGTTAAGGGTTTTGCTTGTTTGATTCTTTCGGGTGTCCAAAAATCAAGATTCGTTGGAGTAGAATAACTTGAATCGATTTTGAAGGTTAGCACAACCAATGCAGTTAATAAATAGAATATAATTTTTTTATTCATTTTTTATTATTAATCAAAGTTAATTTAGATAAAAAATATATATATCGGAGAATTGATTTTGGAAAAAAAGACTACGAGAAGATAATGTTAGATGATTTTTTTAATGGCCTTTTATATTTAAAAATTACCGTAATGTTAATAGTAATTTGCCGGTCCCGGGGGGTAATAATTAAGAGATCCGAGGTACTATGTATTTGCGTATTTGACAATTTATCAGTTAATAATTCTGAATGAGGTCATCCTTACCAAATATTAATCTGGGGTCCGAGAGCAACCGTTGTGAGTCTGGAGCATGTGTACATCAGTAATTATCCCATTATGTAAAATCATGTTACAATTGTTCTGTCAAATAACACCATCATGAGCTACTAAACTGCTAAAATCAACCGTTTTATATGACCTATTTCGATAATCAT